ATCTCATAACAAAAAATCTATGTGATACGTTCTTGACGCTCTTGTTTGAAACAAAAGAAAAGTAATAATAGGTGGTTGTTGTGGGGTTTCATCCCTTTAATGCAGAACAACAATTATTTGATTCGTTTCCAATTAGGAATGTAGAAAAAGATTCAAACCTGTCTTCAGCAAAGTAAAGATGCTCATTTGATGGCTGATTATCAAAAGAATGTAACGTGGCTGTCAGTTTTTCAATTTTCTACACAGAAGAGTCAGAATTGATAAATTAGTTAAACTAAATCAATGTGTTACTCGAAGAACTCCTGGTTAATTATAAAAAATGAAAGCTCGCAAAGAACACACCCTTTCCTCACTCTGCATTTTCTGAAGTATATACTCTGCATCTTGGGCTTTCATCAGTATGAGTTGCTCTTTAGTATACTTATTTACCCGTCTCCTACATTATATAAAGATTAAGATGCATAAGAAACTAGAAGAAACCAGAATTACTGATAATCAATAGATAGTAAGAATAATCTAAAATGATTACTCTGGTTTATGGACTGTTCTGGTCTTAATCATCATCTTAAAGTAAAATTCATCTCGATTCCAGAAGGCTGCTTTCTTTTCAAGTTTCTGAAAATCAAACAGCACAAAAAATACAAACAACCAAATTAAGAACTTCACAGAATTCAATAAACAGCAGAAAAATTGTGTTAACATTAAAAACAGAGTAATAATGGGCCTTCCAAACTTTACCTCTAAAGTGGCTTCCTTCTTATGATAAGCCTTAGCACGCTTGACATAGTGTTTGTGTTTCTCAGAAAGCCCAAAATGTTTCCGAGAATGCCTGATCCATTACATGACCCCATTATCCACAAATAGTCAGATATCAAAATTTGAAAGAAAAAAAAAAAGCCCATTGCATCACAAAAAGCCTTCATCACTTACGGCCGAGCTCGCTTCTTGTATAGCCGCGAACGGATGGCATTCTTCAGTGACCGCATTGCACTCAACAAGAGAGCGGAAGAACGTGCGATTACAAGCAAATAATGTTCTCTGTGTCTTAGTTTTCCTACAACTGAAACGCAGAGAAAATCGAACGAATCCTACACAAGATAGATGGTTTTCAGGGATGGATTCCAAATCAGAATATTTAGACAATTCGGAATGCCGTCGAGGAGCAGAACCACTGTAGATATCGGTGGAAGACTTAGCCAAGTCGGCTATAGCTAAAGAAGAATCCGCCGGAAGTTGTTCTCGTGCAGTTCACAAAGCTGCTCGGTCGAGCCTCGCCGCACCGTTTCTTGAAGGAGCTTTCGCCGCCGCACGGCTCGGGTGTTTGCGGTTGCTGCTAGCGCCGGAAGAGAACGGGCGAACGGAGTGGCCGGATCGCTCCGCACGGCAGATGGTTGTGCCGTCGAGGTCGGCGCCGGAGTTGATAAGGCTGGGGGGTGGGATGTGAGACGCAGAAAGTGGGTTTAGGGTTTCCGATGAAGAATGGAGATGACCTCATACTTCTAAACGCTGACCTCATAGATCGTTTAGGGTTTAGGGTTTTTTCCCAATCTTTCCCTAAAATGTTAATAATAAGGATTTTCCTTTTTTTGAATTTTTTTTAATTATTTTATTTTACATTAAAGAGAATTACATTTGCAAAAAAATCTAATTAGTTTTGGAAATAATAATTTAAATAATGTAATAATAATAATAAAAAAAACAAATTCTAGAATTATGTTAGAATTACCCGACATTGATATATTTCGAGTAGATTTCATCAGCAACTCGTGTACGTATACAAGATTTAAAGATATTCACATGGCTAATGATATATCTCAAATTCTGCAATACACGTTGCCCGACCGTAGGCAACGTGATACAAAGTTGGCTTGACTCACTCAGTGTAGGGAGTGAGTGTCGTACAATCGTCAAATCCGCTATTAAGAAACGACGATCGTGACATGGTGCCTCCAACCACCTCCCTTGCACATGTGTCTCTCGAGCCAACACCCTTCAACTTAGCTTGGCTCGATTTTCTCGATTTTTTTTACCCATTTTGAACCTTTTCATATTTGTTTTTGACGTAATTAAGGGCAATTAAAGACTACTATGATGCCATTACAAACAAAATTAGGTTACGACCAGCTAAGAACAATTTAGGGATAATGCCTTTGGTCAACACTGTAAAGCCTCTCCTGATATCTATGGAGACATGGAATAGCCTCCCCTTAATCGAGGCTCGACTCCTTCTCTAGAACCCTCGAACAAAGTACACCCATTTGTTCGATACTTGAGCCACTTTTGACTACACCTTTGAGGCTCACAACTTCTTTGTTCGACACTTGAGAATTCTATTGACATGACTAAGTTAAGAGCATGACTCTGATACTATGTTATTGTAGAACACAACTCTATGTGGGAAACAATCACACTGTTTAGTAAGACCAATTGAGAAGAGATTACAAGACACTTTATACAGACTACTGCACTCTGTGCTAAATTATTTTCTTAAAACAGTTTTGTCACAATTGCTCTTTTCTTGGCAGTGGACTTGCGATTGTTCGGCACTCACTTCTCAGCAACAAGTGAGTTAAGAAAATTTGTTTGCATGTCGCTTACGGCCAGACAACGTATGCTCGAGTCTCTAGCCCCGATTTAAGAAGAAGGTTTTAGAAAATGGGAGCAGAGAGATTTTCAAAGATAGTTTGAAAGCAAGATGTAGTGAGAGATTGAAACCGGTGTTATATAGCATGCAATCAAAGGCAACAACAACGACTTATCAGTATATAACTATTCGGGTAGGGGGACTATAATATATTTTTCTTTATTCATAAAATAATTGTATCTTTTTCCTAAAATATATATACAGTAGTCTCGTACAATTATTAGGTTTGATCTTATTGGACTAATGATAATATTTTAACAACTATGACGTAATTACCACGAATACGTAAGCACGTCTTGTAGGAAATTCATGTTACGATAAGTATGGAAGTACAATATGCATTATTACAGTAAACCATGATTTTAAATGGGGGATCTCGTGCATGTTGATCGTCACACCAGCATGGATTACTTCTCCAATATATTACTTATGGAGTACACTACGATATTATTAGTGCTTTTTTTTTCATTGGTTTTCAACGGTGTGAGCGTGTGTTAGCCCATAGTCAGACCTAATGGGTACATATATATGAGCCCACCTAATAGGTTTATGTGTACGTGTATAGTAAAGTACTATGCATCTAACCCCATCTAGAAATAAAGTAGAGCCTAAGGAACAATCATGAGAACCTTGGTCCTTAGATCCTGAGGTCTCAACTTTGGTTCTGATCTAAAGGGTTTAGTACTAAGGTTCTGGGTCTTTGTCTTTAGAACTTGGGTCTTGATCCATGTTCTATTTCTTGATTGATGTTTCGTTCTGGGTTGCCACTAGGGGCTTGCACTCCTTGTGTTTCCGTAATTGCTTGTACATCGAGCTAGCCAGTGTTTCTAGAGTTGTCCTCACGAAGAACTACAAGGTCTCTAGGGTGAACATGATGGTGGACTGTCTTGGGGCGTAGTTTGATTTGGGTTAGGATCTTGTTGTATTTTTGTTTTGTATTCGGGGTTCTTTTGTGGAATTCTCAGGAGCCAACCTTCGACTTCCTCGTCTAGCTAGGGTTCTTCTCTTGGGGGACATGATCCTAGCCCTGAAATAATATTTAGGGTCACGAAGGAAGGTTCTTTAGGTTGTCTTAAATCTTATCTTAAATATTAATCCTATGATCATGCACATAATAACTTAAAGTTTTAGGCATACGTAAACTTAGAGTCTTAAGGGGATACTTATCTGGTCTCAACCGGGCATCCCGGACTTTGATATTTAAGCTACCTCCAATGCTTCTAACGATTGAATTTCTTCCGCAAAGTATTCCTTGTTATAACTCGAATATAAAGTCAAGGGTTCTATTTATAAGAAATTTAGAAGAATGTTGGCCAAATAATATATTTAAATATCTAATATATATATTACGAAACAATCTCTGAAAACTAAGGCAATTGAATTTTCCTGTTCTACACATTGTGAAAGAAGAAGTTAATCCTCATAAGGCATGTTGGGTAATAGGCATTCCCACTCTAGGAGTTAATCCTGAGAAGTTATGTGGGTAATTTGCACTGCAGTATTATACCGAAAATATTCCCTTATCCGAACGGGTCTTGCAAGCAAATAGGATTTCATATTACTTTCCTATGGTAGTCCCGTTGTGGCCTTTGACCATCCTTCCTGGCCCTATCTATCAACAAATGATATAGTATTGGAATAAATAAACTCTTCCTTGAGAATGTCGAAAGTGGTTGGTTTAGGCAGAATTGAGATTTCGGGTTCAATAGGCATTTTTTTCTATCAGCAATGGCGGCTAAGGTCTCAGTCAAGTATTCCAGTACTTTTAAGCACAAGGGTCACTTCACAATATCAAGGATGCTCCGGGCTTTCAATCTAGTCTAATCAGCCTAAGGAGCCATCATAGCGGCGCCCTCGCCTGGCGCCATTCCCGCTTTCTAGAGGTGGAATCTTCAAATTCTTCCTATTTGACCTGGAGCACTGATCGGGGTAGCATCGCCCAAGTTGAGAAGGAAGAAAGGAAATGTATAATCGAAACAAACGTTTGTAATTGAAAAAAATAGGTTGAACTAATAAACATACCCGTACAATTTACGGTGTATAAAATAAATATATTATTGTTAGGTTTGGATAGAAACCGATAATACTTTGTTTAAAGAGTACTGTGTTTTCAAAAGTTTCATTAATACCTTTAAACTTTTTTTAAAAACTTTAAAAATAATTTTAAATTAAAATAAAGCTCTTAAAATAAAAGTTAAAAAATACGACAATAATTTATTTTTTTGAGATTTTTTTAAAAGCTTAAAAATATTATTAAAAATTTTAAAAATTAAGAATATTATTTTAAAGACAAATTACTATTTTTATTAATTTAAGGGAAAAAATATTATTGATTATCACTTTCTTTATCCTCCGAACTTGTTTGGAGTTCGCATTTGGCCGTCAATGTTCCCGGCAAAATTCGGGATGGTATTTTCCTAAAGAATATATTCAATTATATTTGGGAAAATGGCGAATCTTAGCTCCGAAACTGAAGTATTTCACAACTGGATTTGAAATTCTTGATAAGCGGAAGAAAAATGGCTTGAATTCCTCTGTCTTTTACTCGTTTTCTGGATTTTGATAATGCAGCAGGTTGCGAAGTTGATTAGGGCAGTGATTTTGAAGCTTCGAAGCTGAAGGCTGTGTTTCAAGGATGATGGAAGGAAGAGGTTGAACCTAGAAAAACAAGGTAAATATGCAATTCCACACAGTTTTGAGATCAGAGAAACAAATTGATCCAGTTTTTAGGTCAATTTTCTATCGTACCTTTTATTGTAGTTTATTTATTTTTCTTGTGTTGCATGATATCTGCGTCAGTTTTGGATCCCCAAATGATAAGAGTTCTGTGTAATTACTTACTTCAAATTCACCAGTTTCGTTCGTCAACACCTCTAATTTTATTCATACCCAGAAATTTCTCTCTATTTGTTCAATCACCAGTAGCTCTGAGATGTCGAAATAAGTGTACCACCATAAATTCTTCCATTAATTGCTGTGGCATTGCGCAAACTCTCATATCAAGGTGTTCTGTTTTGCTTGAGAAGGAAGAGAATGGCTCTGTATTGCCTAATTCTTCTCTCAAGGATTTTTTATTGGAGATCTCTGATGTTGTACCGGAATATGTTCGTAGAATTAGGCGAATTTCGGAGTTAAAGCCTGAAGATGTGCTTACATTGTTTCTCGGGTTTCAATCGAAGGTTGGGGATAATGGAATTCAAGTTAAGAAAGTTGTGTGTTTATGGAGAATTTTGAAGTTTGTTAATGAAAGTAATGGGAGCTTCAAGCAATTACCGAGGTTGTACGAGGTTATGGCCTCTCTACTCGTTCAAGTTGGGAAGTTTAAGGAAGTCGAGCAACTTCTTTCTGAGATGGAGATTCAAGGAATCTTACTGGATAATCCTGAAGCTTTTAGTTGTATAATTCAGGGTTTTGTTTGTGAAGGTAATCTAGAAAAGGCTATTTTGATATACGAAAAAGCGAGGCGGCGATGTATTTCTCCATCATTGTCATGTTATCGTGTTCTAGTAGATTCTTTGGTTCGTATGAAGAAAACACAAGTAGCACTTGGAGTATGTACAGATATGGTGGAGATGGGATTTGATTTGGGGGATGACGAGAAGGCTGCTTTTGAGAATGTCGTTGGACTACTCTGTTGGCAGGGAAAGGTTCTTGAAGCTAGGAACCTTGTGAAGAAGTTCGTGGCTTCGGGTTTTAGGCCTAGTGATGAGGTTCTTTATCGAATTACGAGGGGTTACTGTGAGAAGAAGGACTTTGAAGATTTGCTGAGTTTCTTCTTTGAAATTAAGAGTCCCCCAAATGTTTTTTCTGGCAACAAAATCATTCATTCTCTCTGTAAAAATTTTGGGTCCGAAAGTGCGTGCCTGTATCTACGAGAACTTGAGTGTACAGGTTTCAAGCCTGATGAAATAACCTTTGGGATTTTGATAACTTGGAGCTGTCGTGAGGGAAATCTTCGAAACGCTTTTATTTATATGTCGGAGTTATTGTCTAGTGGCCTAAAACCAGATTTACATTCGTATAATGCTCTCATCAGCGCGATGTTGAAGGAGGGCCTCTGGGAGAATGGCCAAGGCATTCTTGCTGAAATGGTAGAGCGGGGAACGGAACCTAATTTATCGACTTTCAGAATTCTTTTAGCAGGCTATTGCAAAGCTAGACAATTTGAAGAAGCAAAGAAAATAGTTCTTGAAATGGAAAGATGTGGTTTTATTCAACTTTCTCCAGTGGATGATCTATTGTGCAAAATATTCTCTTTCTTGGGGTTTAATGATTCAGCAGTTAGGTTGAAAAGAGACAACAATGCTGGTGTTTCTAAAACCGAGTTCTTCGATACCCTTGGAAACGGGCTTTATTTGGACACTGATGTGGACGAATATGAGAAAACGCTTACTGAAGTTCTCGAAAATTCAATATTACCGGATTTTAACTTGCTTATTATCGAGGAGTGCAAAAACAGAGATCTTAAAGCTGTATTAAGGTTGACAGCTCAAATGGATCGATGGGGTCAAGAACTAACTTCAGTAGGTTTGATGGGTTTATTGAAAAGCCATTGTAAATCGAATTTGAGAATCAAGCCTATCATTGATGTTTGGAAGAGAAGACCAGATATGATTGCTCAGTTAGAAGCAGACGCCTTAAATTTACTTGTGCAAGCGTATAGCAAAAATACGTCGACTTCTAGTGGAATCGGAACACTAAATGAAATGATCCGAATGGATGTTAGAATAGAGAAAGAAACATACAGCGCTCTGATAAATAGTATGTGCAAAATAGGAAACTTAAGTGACCTTGTTGGTTGTTGGGATAGAGCTCGAAAAGATGGTTGGGTTCCGGGATTGCTCGACTTTAAATCACTTATCAGTTGTCTTTGCAAGAAAGGAGAACTCAAAGAAGTTGTCTTCCTCCTCGAAACCATGCTGGTATCTTATCCACATTCGAGGTTGGATATACTTAATATATTCCTCGAAAGGCTTTCAGAAGATGGGTTCCCTGCAATTGGACGGGTATTGGCTAAGGAGCTTACGTCTCTCGGATTTTCTTTGGATCAAAAGGCATACGAACTTCTTATTATAGGATTATGTAAGGAGAATACTGTTTCAATAGCAATTAACGTGTTAGACGATATGATGGCTATGAGTATGGTTCCATGCATTGATGTTTGTCTTCTATTAATTCCAACTCTATGTAAGATTGGTAGATACGAAACTGCAATTACATTAAAAGAGATCGGAACTACCAAGCTATCGTCTTCTTCACGTAGAGTGTACGGTGCACTAATGAAAGGTTTCTTTACAACGGGAAAGGTTAGAGAAGCCTTGGCACTACTCGAGGGCATGATGTCTAAAGGCCTTTCTCTAGATGCTGAGATATATAATCTTCTGATTCAAGGACATTGCAAAGCGAAAAACTTCGAAAAAGCGCGGGAGCTACTGGGCGTTATGGTAAGGAAGGACTTAAGCCTTTCGATATCAAGTTACGGGAAATTAGTTCGTTTAATGTGTATGGAAGGAAGAAGTCTCCAGGCATTGCATCTAAAGGACATCATGCTTAGAAACAGAAAATCTCATGATTGTGTTATCTATAACATTCTGATCTTTTATCTTTTTCGAAGTGGAAACAGTTTTCTTGTGGGAAAAATTCTGGATGAACTATTACCTGATAATGTAACCTATAATTTCCTAGTATATGGATTTTCTCAGTGCAAGGACTTTTCAAGTTCCACATTATATCTCTTTACCATGATCCAACGGGAGTTTCGGCCTAGCAATCGGAGCTTGAACGCTGTAATAAGCCACCTTTGTGATACCGGACAGCTCGAGAAAGCATTAGAGCTGAGCTGGGAGATGGAATTTAGGGGATGGATTCTTAATTCAGCTGTACAGAATGCAATAGTTGAGTGTTTCATTTCATATGGCAAGCTTCAAGAAGCAGAGTGTTTTTTGAATAGAATGGTTGAGAAGAGTCTCATCCCGAAACATGTAGATTACAATAACATTATCAAGCAATTTTGTCAGAGTGGAAGATGGTTGAAGGCAATGGATTTAATAAACATAATGCTCAAGCAAGGAAACATACCAAATGCTTCAAGTTATGATTTTGTCATTCAATGTTGTTGTAATTATAAGAAGTTGGAAGAAGCTTTAGATTTACATACCGAGGTGTTGGACCGATGCCTAAAGCCGAGCATCACGACATGTGATGAACTTGTGTCTTCGTTATGCAGAGAAGGGCAGACGAAAGAAGCCGAAAGGGTTTTGATGAGCATGTTAGAGATGGGTGAAATACCGAGCAAGGATGCGTACCGCTCCATGCTTAATAGGTACCGCTATGAGAATGATCTTGAAAAGGCATCTGAGACGATGCGAGCGATGCAGCAAAGTGGTTATGAGTTGGATTTTGAGACACAGTGGTCTCTCATAAGTAAACTAAGCGATACCAGTCTCGAGAACAGCAACAACAATAACAGTAACAAAGGGTTTCTCTCAGGACTTCTTTCTAAGAGTGGATTTTCTCGGGTATCGATTCCTTAGCAATGCCGAGACGAAGATTGCGAATGTCATTTTTCTTTGTTTTTGTCCGGGCCATGATTTGGGACCAGGACGCGCGACTCTCCCAACTCGGGTTTGCTTGAAGCAGACCGACAATCAGATCTCCGTTGTTCGCCCGAGAGATTTGATTTGCCTAATTGGAGTACAAGTCGTAAGTAGTTGTTAGGTGAGAACTGTGAGCTGCGTGCCAAGCTATGCTAAAGAACTGGAGAGTAGGTAAATTTGACAGTATGAGCCATAATTTATACCGCACAGTTCGTAGCTATCCAATAAGCCTTTTCCATTATAAAGTGGAAAAGTATAGAGCTTCAAGAAGGATATCTGATGTTTTCTCCCCTGGATATGAACATGGTTTGTGGTGGGTGATGTGCAACTTGTACGTATCCGAGAAGAAAAATCGTTTCTGATTGCATCTTCTACAAGTATGTTTCATCCAGCCATATGAAGAAAATTTTCTTTTATTGTTGTATAGTAATAATTAATTTGGTGTGATCGATGTATGGCAGGTTGTGGCTGTAACAGTACAAGTCTACTTTTCTCTTTCGGGCTTCTCTTTAAAGTTTTTAAAACTCGTCTGCTAAGGAGATGTTTCTATACCCTTATAAAGAATGTTTCGTTCTTCTTCTCAACCGATGTGGGATCTTACAATTCATCCCTCTTTAGGGCCTAGAATTCTTGTTGGCACTCGTTCCCTTCTTCGATCGATGTGGGACCCTCGCTTGTTGGCACACCACCTCGTGTCCATTTTTTGGGCTCAACATCCTTGCTAACACACCACTTAGTGTCCACCCCTTTTTGGGCTCAACGTCCTTGTAGGCACACCACCTCGTGTCCACTTCCCTTATGGGACCAGCCTCCTTGTTGGTACATCGCCCGGTGTCTAGCTCTGATACCATTTGTAACAGCTCAAGCCTACTGTTAGCAGATATTGTCCTTTTTTAGGCTTTTCCTTTCGGGTTTCCCCTCAAGGTTTTTAAAACGCGTTTGTTCGGGATCGATTTCCACACTTTGATAAAGAAAAATTTGTTCTTCTCCCGAACCGATGTGGGATTTCACAGTGACATTGGTTTTAAGAGGTGAAGCAGCGAAAATGTTTTATTACGAGATGAAGTGCATAAACCCATTTGGCCACAACTCTAATACAGGTCTCATCTTACCATTCTTACTCAATACATTCTTACACTTTTGCTAGTCACATATCAGCCTTTGATTTACTCTTACCATTATGGTTGCTTGCAAACTTAGCATAGTTGACTTGAATGCTGTTTAAATTTTTGTGCATTGGAGAAAAATAAAGCAAACAATAGACAGCAATCTTTGGGGCTGTCATTGATAAAAAAACAGGGACAGTTTTGTTGTCTTCTTGTTCAAAGTAAACTGTCGAAGAATCCTGTTATGGAACGAACACAAGCCTTGCAAAAGAGGGCACCATGTTCTCAGACAATTACACGAAACTCGGTTTTCGTTCAACTTTAATCCGAGCTTCTTGGGTTTATATAGCCGAGGTGTATAAACAACCTATTTAAATTTGAAAAACCGACCTATTTCAATAAAAAAACAATTTCATTGATATACGAAGTTGCAAGAGATACTGAACCTAAAGTAATTCGATCCTCTTTTAATTATGGAGGTGCTCGTTTGCTTTGTATTACTAGTTTTTAACAACAGACGTAATTAATTAATTTACCTATCGCTACTAACAAAATAGAAAAAACTCAGCACAATTAGTAACTAAAAATTAAAAATATCTATGTGGTGCTTCTAGAGATGTCGACCGGATGAGGGGAGGAGGGGATGTGAAAGTTTTTCTCGTCATGTAAAATTTTTTATTTTTTTTATCTCGAGTGTCCCATAATTTTTTTTTTTAACATATAATTTCGTTATGTTATAAAAATTTGAATTAACTACCTAATCACGTGATTTTCAAATCAATAATTAAATTAATTAATTATTAATAAATTTATAATTGAATCAACCATAATACCTACGACAAAAACAAACAACCCAAATGACAATAAATGGAAGACATATATTTATAATAAATAGGACGGAGATGAGGCGAGACAGGAAATTGGAACATAATAATTATCTAACGAAGAGAAATCTCTCCCAATTTCTATCTGAATTAGAACTTTTGCTTTGCTGGCTAAATAGTCATCACTTACTGCTTCGTGGGATTAAAAAAAAAAAAAACCTTAAATTAACCTGCAAAATGGAATCTGCAATCGTTTCTTTCGAATATCCGTTTCCAATTTCCAATCAACAACATAACTCACCTTCCTCCGGCTTATCACCGGCAGTCTGCTCAGGGTTCCAACCTCAAACGGTGGGAAGCAAGAATATTACAAAATAAACTAAAAATTTGGAGGCATTTCATCTACCATTTGTCATGCCTTTATACCTTATCTTGTCCAAGCAAATAATTTTCTTTATAAAAATCTAACGTTATAAAACTAAATATATAACTTCGATTCTTTTTCTACGGTGCTCTATTGAAGCACGTAGAGTAACCAATTACATCATTCACTATAATAACAAATATAAGGATAATTGACTTCTCGTATAAGTGGATATGAGCTACAACTTAGTCAAGTATAAGGATCTTGACCGTGAAGAATAAAAATATTTGCTAAAACCGCCACAGCTAAATGGTGGTGAAAGTTTTCCATTTATAATCATTTATCGAATAAAATAAATTACAAAGAAAATGAAAAGGCAATAAATGGATACAGGATATTTGACCATGCTCAAATATGATACCTATGGTAAAGTGTAATAAAAGGCTAAATATCCTACCAAATATTTGTCTATAGTAGAGGCTCAATTATGGTATCTACGGTAAACCATAATAGAAGGCTAAATATCATACAAGATATTTACATATAATAAAGGGTCAAATACGATGCCTACAGTAAACCGTAATAGGCTAAATATCATTTAAGATATTTGCCTATAATAAAAAGTCAAATATAATACCTATGGTAAACCGTAATAAAAGATTAAATAACATACAAGATATTTTCCTATAATAAAGGATAAAATAAATATGATACCGATGGTAAACTATAATAGAAGCAAAATATCATACAAGATATTTGCCTATAATAAAAGGGTAAAATAAATATGATACCTACGGTAACCTGTAATAGAAGCTAAATATCATACAAGATATTTGCCTATAATAAAGAGTAAAATAAATATGATACTTACGGTAAACTGTAATAGAAAGACTAAATATCATACAAGATATTTGCCTATAATAAAATATCAAATATTATACCTATGGTAAATCGTAATGGAAGGCTAAATATCATACAAGATATTTTCCTATAATAAAAAGTTAAATATGATAGATATGATAAACCGTAATGGAAGACTAAATATCATACAAAATATTTGTCTCGAACAAATATGACACCTATGGTAAACCGTAATGAAAGGTTAAATATCATACAAGATATTTGTCTATAATAAATGATAAAATATGATCAGATACATATGGCAAACTGTAATAGAAGGTTAAATATCCTTAACAAAGACCTAAAGTTTCAAAGGTTCGGTCCTTCGACTTAAAAGAGATGAGTAAAGTACCTAAAATCACAACAATTCATAGAGCTTATTTGTTTTCTCCAAACTTAAAGGAGCTTTCAAGGTTTTGGAAGATTGAGATGTGAACTTTTCTACAAAAAGTTCTTTAACAATGCTTATTTGTTTATACATACATAAACTTGGTTTATATCATGGAAGATTTTGAAAGCATAATTCCATCCAACCTTACAAAACTACCTAAACCCATCCCTTCTTCCCTGCCTCCTATGGATCACTAGTCCGTAGCTAATATATAAACAAGGTAATCCCATTTTCTCATGCTTACAAACTTCATTTGTACCCATAAGAAAACAAAAATGCATAGGAAGTGAGACGCTACCTCCATCGTTTCAGATCATCGCCATGCCCATTTGAAAGTTCTACTCTCGTCTACTCGAACGTAAAACGCGCTAATGCTGAACTACGACCACCTCGTCAAAATTCCAGTCTTGTACTAGGTCCCTTCTTACGGCTCGGCTTCGAACCAACCTGGGTGTACCATCCATTACGTTGCTGTTGGAAATGGTTGGTTGGGGTGTTACCTTGGCTGATGCTACATATGATGGGTGGTGGTGGTGGTGTGTTGGGGGAAAAGATGGTCTCCATATTAGGCAGTTGGCTATTGCAGAGCATCTTCCCTCGTTGTCTGAACTCGAAACCGAATAGCTCCTAAGGGAGTGTGAAGGGCTATCGACACTGTTGCATACGAGACATGCCAAACTCATGTTTATACACGTCGAGCTATCTCCTACTCGAGTTCCTAGCTGAAATTCATTGTCAGAGGAGTAAAATAGAGAAAGTCAGAACTTCGAAATGTACATCAGCGGAGACAGGAATCGATCTTACAAGTTTATTCTGACCAAAAAAGCACAAAGCACACCGTAAACGAAACTCACTATTATTCTATATATGCAAGAAGATTGTGTGATAGAAGGAACAAGGTATGTTGATATATATATGTCAAATGTCATATATTAGCAGAACTTGGAACCCCCCTCGGACAACTTTCACTTCAACAAGCAAGCATATAAAATGCATAACAACTAGTGTTTCTAATGGAGGAAATTATTACATCCTACTGTCTGATAATAGTAGACTAATGGAGTAGCTAGCTTATGAAAATTATTACAACTTACTGTTCAATAATTCGGGAGAACTTGTGTGAGAACCAAATCGGTTGGAGAGGGAAACGAACCATTCTTTATAAGGGGGTGGAAACCTCTTCCTAGCAAACGTATTTTAAAAACCTTAAGGGGAAGGCCGAAAGAGAAAATCTAAAGAGACTAATATTTGCTAATGGTGGACTTGGGCTGTTACAACTCGTGTCTCTAATTGAGTAGCTAGCTTATGAAAATTATTACATCTTACTATTCAATAGTTCGGGGAAACTTGTGTGAGATTCACGTCGAACCATTCTTTATAAGGGTGTGGAAACCTCTCCCTAGCATACGCGTTTTAGAAACCTTGAGGGAAAGCCCGAAAGGGAAAGCCCAAAGAGGACAATATTTGCTAGTGGTGGACTAGGGCCGTTACAACTCGTGTCTCTAATTGAGTAGCTAGCTTATGCAAACTAATACATCTTACTGTTTGATAATTCGGGAAAACTCATGTGAGATCCACATCGGTTGGAGAGGGAAACAAACCATTTTTTATAAGGGTGTGGAAACCTCTCCCTAACAGACGCGTTTTAAAAACCTTGAGGAAAAGCTCGAAAGGGAAAGCCCAAAGAGGACAATATCTGCTAGCAGTGGACTTAGGCTGTGGGTCTCTAATTGGGTAGCTACCTTATGCAAACTAATACATCTTATTGTTCGATAGTCGGGAAAACTCGTGTGAGATCCATATCAGTTGGAGAGGGAAACGAACCATTCTTTTTTTATAAGGGTGTGGAAACCTCTTTCTAGCAGACGCATTTTAAAAATCTTGAGGGGAAGCCTGAAAAGGAAAGCTCAAAGAGAACAATATCTGCTAGCGGTGGACTTGGGCCGTTACAACCCGTGTCTCTAATTGAGTAGCTAGCTTATGAAAACCTCATTGGATGACATGGAAAACTATGGCATTAGAACATGCTATAGGATATTAGATATCTAAGTAGGTCAACTAACAGCCAAGAATCAAACCCATAAGCTGTAAATATCAAAGTTTCTAATAGTTAGTTCTTCTGAAAACGAAATCAACTTGTGGCCAAAAATCAAGCCGACTCTACCCACTTCTACCGTTACACATAAATTCCTAGAAGCTCAATATATGAAAGGGAAAATATTAGAAAATGTAACTAGTAGGCAAAACAGAACATATATTATGCAGAAAACCGGGAAAGCAAAACCATATTTGTAACGGCCTAAGCTCACCGCTAGTAGATATTATTCTTTTTGGGCTTTCTCTTTCGGGTTTACCTTCAAGGTTTTTAAAACGCATCTGCTAGGGAGAGGTTTCCACACCCTTATAAAGGGTGTTTCGTTCTCCTCTCCAACTGATATGGGATATCACAATCCACCCACTTCAGGGCCCAGTGTCCTCACTGGCACTCGTTCCTTTCTCCAATCGATGTGGGACCCCCACCAAATCCATCCCCCTTCGGGGACCAGAGTCCTTACTGACACACCGCCTCGTGTCTACCCTCCTTCGGGGAACAACCTCCTCGCTGGCACAACGTTCGATGTCTGGTTATGATACCATTTGTAATGGCCCAAGCCCACCGCTAGCAAATATTGTCCTCTTTCGGCTTTCCCTTTCGGGCTTATCC